TAGCTTCACGACTTCCGCTTGCTCTCTTCTCGCTCTTATTTGCGTATGTTAGCCACCATATATGCTTAGTCGCTGCTGCAACCTCACCACTTTACCCCTTCCTTTCCCTTCAAGCTTTGCTAGTCTTGACACCCATGGTAATGGGATTGCTGAGTCCTCGTGGCTCACAGATTACTAAAACAACAGTTGCAGGTACAGGTTATGCGATGATCATGACGCGAGAGCGATATTTGCTTGTTTTGGAGTTCTCCTTCTGCTTCTTCGATCAGGGGATAGGTTCCAGGTCGGCAGCCTGGGCTAGCAGGGTGGATGTCGTTTGAGTTTCTGTTTGTGTTTCATCCGTAGTCGGATGATGCTCTTATGTATTGTGATGTTGTATTCGTGTGGCATTGTATGCCTCTTGTATGTATCCCCATCTATTATGTAATGTTGATGTAATGATATCCACCTTGCGAAGCGTTTCAATATGCGGTTCTATCCTTGGTGGGACCTTCGAGTCTCTTTAGGATAGTATTGCATATTGGGCATGACAATGAAATAGATCCAAGTGTACCGAGAAAAATCGTCTATAAAGATAATACAGTAGCGATGACCCCCTTTCGAAGCAAAGGGAGCCGGATCCCAAATATCAGAGTGAACGAGATCAAAAGGGCGCTCGAACACTGACTGACTGTGAGGATAGGGTAGCTGAATCTGCTCACCAAGACTACAACCCAGACAATCCAACGAAGCGTTACCAGAGACAGACTCTAGAACACCGCGATGAACCAAAGATGAGAGACAAGAACCACATAAATGGCCAAGACGATGATGCCACTGCTGAAAAGAGCTGGTAGATGCAGCAACAAGGGCTGTAAGACTGGCGGCGGAGGAGGGAAGGCGAAGCCAGTCAAGCTCCCAGAGACCATCAGGGCGTCAAGGGCCAGCACCAAACAGAGCACCCGTGCGACGATCCTGAACATAACACGAATCAAAGTCGAGAATGACCCTACAACTAGAGTCAACAATCTGACCACCAGATATGACCTGCATGGTAAGTTGAGGAACATGAGCGACAGAGGGAACATGAAATGAAGAAGTGCTAAGAGTGCCTCTACTAGCTATAGGGAGGGGAATGCCATCAGCCGTAAGAACACGAACATGAGACTCGACAGGTCGAACGGAGGTCAGTGGAAGAAGCATAAGTCATATGAAAAGACGCTCCAGTATCAAGAATCCATGGGGATGTACCTGAATGAGTAGAAGGTGGTTTCTCGGTGCCAGAAGGGTCGGTCACGGAACCTGCAGAAGTTGTCGGTGAAGAATCCCAAGCAGCAGGCGTCGCACTTGCACAACCTCACAATCAAACATGAACACGGCGGAAGAGGTCAGTAGAAACACTTGTCAACGATGAGCGGTCGGCACCACCCGTGAAAGCCGCAAATAGAGTCGACGTAGAGCCGCATGTGGGAGCCACTGGGGGAGTCGACGTAGAGCGGTCACTACCGCGCATGAAACTCGTGAGAGGATAGAGGAGATCCTCTCACGGCTTCCGTGCGCGGCAGTGACCGCTCTACGTCGACTCCCCTTCCTCTCACAGCTTCGATGCGCGGCGTGACCGCTCTACGTCGACTCCCCTTCCTCTCACAGCTTCGATGCGCGGCAGTGACCGGTCTACGTCGACTCCCCTAGTGGCTCCCACATGCAGCTCTACGTCGACTCTATATGCAGCTTTCACGGCTGGTGTCGACCGCTCATCGTTGGCAAGTGTTTCTACATTGACCTCTCCTCTCATGGCTTCTGTGCGTGGCAGTGACCACTCTACGTCGACTCCCCTGGTGGCTCCCACATGCGGCTCTACGTTGACTCTATATGCGGCTTCCATGGGTGGTGTCGACCGCTCATCGTCGGCAAGTGTTTCTACCTCGACCTCTTCCGCCGTGTTTAGGTTTGCGCGTGAGGTTGTGCAACTGCGACGCCTGCTTGCTGCTTGGGATTCTTCACCGACAGGTTCTGCAGGTTCCGTGACTGCTTGAGAGGAGTCGACATAGAGCGGTCACCGTCACCGCGGGCAAAAGTCGTGAGAAGAGTCGACGTAGAGCGGTCACCGCCACCGCGGGCAGAGGCCACAAGAAGAGTCGACGAATAGCGACCAACCAATGCAGCCTGCTGAAGACGTCTTAGGGGACAACGTCATAGACAAATGAGCACCAAGCGACGACGCATGTGTGAGATGGGATCAATATAGGGAACACCGTCGAAAGTTGGTGGGCAGCGAAGGAGATGCAAGCCTGACGGACACAACATTTTTTTAACTCTCACTTCTTTTTTTCTCTCTCTCTTTTAGTCACAAACCTTATCAAGATGCACACACCTTGGAAACAACCGGCCAAGGGAGTCAGCGCGAGCGAATCAAAGGGGCAGACACGGCCTGGAGGGCCTTGGCGATCGGAGGACAGGCATCGGGCGGTGGCCTGGGAGCTCCGGCTGGAGGGGAGCAGCAGGGCGAGCGACCTGGAAGTTGATGGCGTCCTCCTGGAGGTGGTGGTGATGGCAGACGACCTGGAGTCCCAGTCTGATCTAGATCAAGGGACTGGCGGCCCGATCTGGAGCTGTCCGTGTGGGCGCGGGCGCGCATAATTCGTTGTGGACCACGGACTGGGGCGCGGATATGGGAGTCGTGGGCCGCGGACTAGCACACAGGTGCAGGAGTCGCGGGACGCAGACTGACGCACAGGCGCAGGCCGCGGACTGGCGCAGGAGTCGCGGGCGTCGTCGTTGACCGCGGATTGGCGCGCGGATGTGGGATGGCACATGCTGCAGCGGCAAGAGAGGGAGGAAGGCAGCACAACCGGCGTGAAAAGCAAGGCTACGACATGCTGACAGGTCGCAACAGCACCCCGGTAGTTGTCGGGGAAGCAACGGTTTGAGAAACAGAAAGTGAGTGTGCGGGTGGGAGAAACGGCGACGGTGGCCGATGGAGGTCAACGGCAGCGCAAGATTGGGTCGGGAGAGCACGAGTTGCACATGCAGAAAAAAAAACTAAGGCTCTAATACCATGTTAAGAAAATATGCAACTTGATATTATCAGGAGGCAAAAGCCACACGGGGAGGCCAAATGTCAGAATGCAAAAGGCCAAAGTCCACCATAAATATAACTCTAAACAATTAGTTTATTGGGTATCACAGTGATCTAAAACAAGCAGCAACATGAAATAGGATACTAATACACCTGTATAAATAAAGAAACTTTGAAAACAGATGCTCGGGTATTGTTAGCTAGCAATTACTTATTCCCTTGTGTAGACGGGACAACATGCAAATCACACTAGGACTTGATTGGCCCATAACCACAGTGGGTAAAAAGTAAAAGGCAATGCTGCGAAGAGTAAAACAGAAACACAAATATATCACTAAAGCAAAGTAAAGGTTAGTGCTTCCTTTCCTACTACTTAGCATGACAACATTCTCAACTCTAAGCAGGCACAAACATATGCACAAATAGGGAAAGAGGAAGAGTCATAAGTCATCAGCCAGTCACTGGAGGGGCTAGAGGGAGAAGAGCCACTACCAGAAGGAACTTGGAGAGTGCTAAGGAGGAGAACAACTGAAAGCAAGGAAGCTGGATGGAAGGGAGGGCAAACAAGGAGCATATCCAGTAGAAAGGAGATAGAACATCAGTGTAGGAGATAAGCTTACCTGCTCAACCAGTAGATCAAATAGCATATCCAACCGGACAATCATCTTATGCATCAACCAAAAGCTCAGCCCCATCGCGTCCATCGCCAACACATGTTCCTAAAAGCATAAGAAGTCAAACAATGTATCATATGGGCAGAGTACACGGCTGCCGCAATAAGGATAAGGTGAAGGAACTGAAGGCTTGCTCCTCAAGTCAGCCCCTGATTTCCACATAAAATATATTATCCATATCAAATACTCCCTCTGTAACTAAATATACGACGTTTTTGCAGTTCACATTTAGTTACAGAGGTAGTACATTAGTTGTTCTACAAAGTTAGTTAGTGCATGCCCTATCCAGATGAAACATCTGAAGCTTTCTTATTTACTAACTTGCTATACAAAGAGAGTCCTATATTGTAACCAGTATTAGCTATCAATAAACCCGAAGCGGGAGCTTTGGCTCGCTCACGACATTCGGATGAAAGACATAGAAACGAGATGCATCAACTAGGTATTTAGGTAAATCCATTGCTGTAATTCAAGAAAAGCAACTCAGATTTGATACAATAATGAAACAGATAAACAAAATACACCTATTGCCAAATTTAGTGAATATCCCCAAAACAGCGCATACTCATTGATGTCATGCAAATGAATAACATGCACAATCATACAATTAGCTGGTAAAAAATGGAGGCCTTATATAGAGCTAATCTGAAGCTCCTTCCACACCATATTGGAAAACTCATACTAACAATCCTGGCAACATAAGTAATCCTGGTTTAAATTATCTTTAAATAAATTTAGCATGAAAAGATGAAAATGAACACTGGTTATAAATGTTTCCTGGTGCAAATGAACTTGACACACGTAGGACAGTTCTACAAGTGATAAGTTACTCGCAAATTTCAAATGAAGTGGTTATTATGCATTTAAGACTATTAGAAATATCAGCGGAGATAACAATACAGAATGAAGGAAATATTCCAGGCTTAATCTTCCAAAGGATTCAAGTCAGTTTTTCATGTAGTCAACTTCCAACTGTTGTGGATCTCATCTTGAGAAAAAATGACTAAGTTTACTAACCTCCAACCCTTTACTAAGTTTACTAAGTTCAAGTAATGAGGAGGAAGCAAACCAATTGCAGCCCACTGCTTGGCTGCATAACAGAAACTAATTAAAAACCACAGGATTTTTTTACATGTACATAATCATTACACATAGCATCATCGCTATACATTGAGAAACCATCAAGTAGCAAAGGAACAAATGATATGACACTACCTAAATATTTTTAGCTTAACAATAAATCATGTGAGCATTATTTCATCAGCAACCTAGCAAAAAAACAGACTTTTTTTTAGGAAGTAAGCCAGACTATTACCTCCACTGTAGACACTTTCGAATGGATGATAGTACGACAAAGTCATGGTTTCAAAAAGCTTCTTGAACTTCAATGACTCAAGCTCGACCATTAAGACGCCATTAACTGTCCAATAAAACACCACATTATTCTGCTCAGCAAACCCAAGCATCATATAGGGCCATCCCACAGAAAGTAGCTTGTCCAGTTCAATAGTTCGTGCAAGCACCCATGAAGCAATACCATCGCAATCGATATTCCTCTTCCATAACTGAGCATTGCAGTCTGAGTACGGCACAAAGAGGAAACCCAGCCCACCACCCTCGGCCCTCATAACCGTGAAGGAGTTACCCTCGCCAAGCAAATCCACTGGCACCCGTATCACAGCTAGGCTCTGCCTCTCCAAATCAAACTTGAGGATACCAATCAAGTTCCCAGCAAGCTTCCAGTAAAGGCAATTCCCAACCAGCACAGCGTCTCTCGAATAAACCATGGTTTGAAGATTGCACCCAGAATCCTGGTATGGGAGCGGCGTAGAGATAAGATTTCCCCACAAGCCGGTCTTTGACGAGTAAACACAGGCGAGCGCTCGTGTATGTTGTACGTCGTCGCCGTCTGCCACTGCCAGAACCACCTTGAAGTGCTGGGGCGTCACCGTCAGCGCGAAGCACCGCCCCGTTGATTAGGTTCTTCTCGAACTCCCGGGGTACGGCAATGTGGTGCTGGTCGCCGGTGACGGGGTCCCACACCAGGACCTGGAAACTCCTCGGAAGGTAGACGAGCACGAGACCATGGCGACATCCAAGGGTCGTGGAGTCGTCGTGATCCTTGTCGCTCGGCAAGGAGAAGCGCTCGGCGGGGACACGATTGGGGGCATCCAGAGTAGGTACGAAGGGCCTACCCTTATATCTGTTGAAGAAACCGAGGAGGGGAGGGTTGTGGCGATGGCGGATGCGGAATCGGCGGACGAAGCCGGGGTCGGAGCGAGGCAGCGCCAGCGCTTGCAGACGAGGGATGCGCGCGGGAGGGAGGAGGGCTGCGGCGGGAGGCGGAGCAGGATCTCGGAGAGCAGGTCGTCGTCGTCCAGGGGCGCGGCCGCCGGCGAGCGGGCGTGGCGGCGGCGGCGGCGGCTGCTCATCTCGCCCTAGAGCTCGCTCGGGGGTGGGGACTGGGGTGGGGAGTGTGGCGTTGGACAGGAACCAGCAGGCAAGTCTGAAGTGGAATGCGATCCCGTGGCTTCTTTTTGGTTCCAACGGCTCGACAGCCCAAAGCCCATGGATCGAATGTGAGAGACCAATGCCCCTACAAAAACATCACAAAGTGTGCAAATTAATATTATCCTTTTTTCTCTAGAAATTAAATTAATTCTAAAAATACTAGGTAATACTTGCTCCAAAATTTATCTATTGTGTATATTTTTATTCTAATTAATTTATCTGAATTCTATTTCGAAATAAAAACTATTAGAAAATGCATCGTTATCTATAATAATATTTCTTGCAGCCTTCATGAACAAATTTAACCCTATCACAACGTGGCCGGCTTGTAGACGAAGCACTCACACTCACTGGCATCACAAAGGAGGAGCCCGTTGCAACACATCACCCTTAGAGCATCTCCACTCGTTCGGCCCCCAGTGCATCAGCCGTTGCTTTTTCGGCCCTGGAGCGATTTAGTTCCCAGCCACGCCCCCAGGTGTCGGCCCAAGACGTTATAAATTCAATCTTGACATTTTCCGCTACCCAAAAAACGCCACAAGTCTGGCGATCAGCGGCTGCCACATAGTTCGGCGATCACCATGCCACAGTTCGGCGATCAATCACTCGAAAGTTCGGCGTTCAAAAGGAAGGACACGTAGGCAATGCATCAAACGGCAGCGTTGTCCTCCGGCGTCGGACTGGCGGGAGTCAGCGTGCACGGGCTGGTCGGCGTCGGCGTGACTTCTGTGCTGGGCGTCGTGGAGGCATCATTGCTCGGGCAGGCGGCGACGTTGGGGTCAGCGTGGGAGTTGGCGCGGTCATCGACGACATCTGGTTCAAGATGAGGCCGCACTCCACCAGGTACCACGCCTTGACCTACTCGTCCATCGTCTACATGTCCGTCCCCATCAGGAATGCTAGGTCGGTGTTCCTCTTCTTCGTGGCGACGTTGGTCCAGAGTAGATTAAGCTTGACGGTGTTGTTCGTCACCAACACCGACCACGGCGCCTCGGATTTCTCTTCCCTCTGGGCGGCGTGGTTCTTGGCGTCAGCTATGCACTGCTCGATGGACGCTTGCAGCCACGCGACAGCCAGCACGGCGTTCTTCGTCGTCTTGGCTTGTTTGTTGCCGTCTGGGCGCCCATCAGCCGCGCCCGGCGTCGGCGCGTCCGGCTTGTACGTCTCCTTGGCCTTGTGAAGGGTGCGCCGGACGTCTGCCCACTTTTGCACTTCTCGATCCGGGAGAACACGTGGAGGTACTTGAACTCTTGGTCGGTGCTGCTATCCTGGCGGTACATGGCGAACATCAGAACCATCTGCGCCGAAGAACAAGTATCGGTGACGCACACGACGAAAAGGAGCGTGAACCGGCGTTTGTGCATACCTGGCCCTCGGTGTTGGCGCCGCTTTCCTGGCGAGCCACGATCTCCTCGAAGATCCCATGCCATTTGTTGCAGGGCGTTTGGATGAGCGCCCAATGGTTCGCCATGGCCTTCGAGCCGCGCTGCATGTGGATGCTGAAGTAGGGGTGCACCAACTTGCGCTCATCGAACTCCGACTTGATGCGCTCCCAGTACGTGTCGGCGTTCTGGTTCGTGCTGGTGATTGGGTCGAGGCAGACGGTCTTCCATGCTTCGGCGAGGCACTCATCTTCTTTGGACACCCACTTGATGCGTGGCTCGCCGGGCCTGGCTGCCCGCTTCTTGTTTTTCCCTTTCCTCGCCGGAGCATGCGCCGGCGAGGTCCATTGTATCATCTTGCGCATGGAACCCGGGGGAGGTGGCGGCCGAGCCGCTCGTGATGATGTCATCCATGTTGGCTTCCGTTGCCTCGGGGTTGCCGAAATGCGACGACAAGGCTTGCGAGAAGTGCAGGGTGCCACGGCGCAAAGGCGACGGCGTAAGCCGGCGGCGAGTAGGTGTATGGGGGTACTGGACGCTGGCGAACGGAGTGAGGGCATGCACTGGGCGAGGTGGCCATGCGAAAAGGTGATGTTGGGGTTGAACCCGCCGTGCGCATAGCCGGGCGAGGGCGCGCACCCCCAGGGGTGTGGCGACAGCGAGAAGCCGGTCGGCGACCCGACGCTCTGCTGGCTGTAGGCAGCTTGTGGGCCATGGACGCCGGGTGGATTCGTCATCCCAGCGCGAGACGCCTCTGCCTGCTCCGCTGCAGCCACCGCGTCCCGGGCCCTTGATACGTCTCTGTCATATCTATAATTTTTGATTGTTTCATGCCAATGTTATATAACTTTCACATACTTTTGGCAACTTTTTATATGATTTATTGAACTAACCTATTGATCCAGTGCCTAGTGCCAGTTCTTGTTTTTTTTGCATGTTTTTGTATCATAGAAAATCCATATCAAACGAAGTCCAAACGCGATAAAAAATTATGAAGAATATTTTGGAATATATGTGATTTTTAGGAGGTGGAATCAACGCAAACGGGGGCCCATAGAGCCCAAAACCCACCAGGGCGCGCCACAGGCCCCAGGCGCGCCCTGGTGTCTTGTGCCCTCCTCGAACATCGGTTGGAGCCCTTCTTCTAGCGCAAGAAAGATAATTTATGGAAAAAATCGTGTAAAAATTTCAGCGCGATCGGAGTTACGGATCTCCGGGAATTTAAGAAATCGTGAAGGGCCAGATCTGGGGAACGTGAAATAGAAGAGAACAGAGAGGGAGATCCAATCTCGGAGGGGCTTCCGCCCCTTCACCGTCATGGAGGCCATGGACCAGAGGGGAAACCCTCCTCCCATGTAGGGGGGGGGGCAAGGAAGAAGAAGAAGGAGGGGATCTCTCTCCCCCTCTCTCCCGGTGGCGCCGGAGTGCCATCGGGGCAAGGATCATGACGGCGATCTACATCAACAATCTTGCTACCGTCAACACCAAGTCTCTCTCCCTCTATGCAGCGGTGTAACACCCCTTCTCCCTGCTGTAATCTCTACTTAAACATGGTGCTCAACTCCATATATTATTTCCTAATGATATTTGGCTATCCTATGATGTTTGAGTAGATCTATTTTGTCCTGTGGGTTAATCGTGATCTTGGTTGATATGATTGTATATTTTATTTTGGTGTTGTCCTACGGTGCCCTTCATTGTCACGCAAACATGAGGCCCCCCTGCTGTAGGGTGTTGTAATATGTTCATGGTTTGCTTATTATCGGTGTTGCAGGGGATGACAGCAGCCCAAACGCGGATAAGTGGGTTATGGCGTATGGCAGTAAAGAGGACTTGAACTTAATGCTATGGTTGGGTTTCACGACCTCAATGGTCTTTAATAGTTGCAGATGCTTGCTAGGGGTCCAATCATAAGTGCATATGATCCAAGTAGAGAAAGTATGTTAGCTCATGCCTCTCCCTCATATAAAATTGCAAAAATGATTACGATACTTGTTATCGATTGCCTAGGGACAAATGACTTTCTTGTTTACAAAAGCTATCCACTTTTATTACCTTGCAATTTATTCGTAGTTTTATTCTCGTTCTAAGTAAAGCAAACATCAAGTGTGTGTAGAGGTTTATCGCTGGTCGATATGTGTTCTGCCTTTAGCTTCTTGTTGGGTTCGACACCCTTATTTATCGAAGAAGGCTACAAACGATCCCCTACACTTGTGGGCTAAAAGACCTTTTCTTGGCGCCGTTGCCGGGGAGCAATAGTGTGTGGTGAATATTCTCGTGTGTGCTTGTTTGCTTTATCACTAAGTAGTTTTTATTTCCTGTTCTAAATTATTCTCTATCTTTAGTTATGAATATGGAACACGAAACACCAAAAAAATTAGTTGTACTTGCTACTCATGGAGATGGGGAACCTCCTAAAACCCTCGATGATCGTTATGTGAAAGATATTATGCACTACTTTGATAATCCTGAGAAAACCCCATTCAACTATATAATGGGAGTAACGTTGGATCAATGTGAATGCTTTAGGGATTATCGCTTGACACAAAAAGGGAAACTTTTATGGGATCAAATTTATATGTTGCATTGGTATGCTCGGGATTTATGCTTGAGATATGATTTTACTTGTTGCTCTAAGATGAATGCTCCACACCTTCGCTGTCACGCGCAATATGTGATACTATCCTAAAGAGACTCGAAGGTCCCACCAAGGATAGAACCGCATATTGAGACGCTTTTGCAAGGTGGATATCATTACATCAACATTACATAATAGATGGGGATACATACCAGAGGCATACAAAGCCACACGAATACAATATCATCTTACATAAGAGCACCATCCGACTATGGATGAAACACAAACAGAAACTCAAACGACATCCACCCTGCTA